TGGAAAACATAAAACTCCCTCGAAAGGATTTTAATCATCACAGAATTATCCAAGTAAAACAATCGGAGATGATGCATATACAGATACAACAGAAACAATTCGAAGTGACAATATCAGTCGAAGTTCTAAGCAAGTCATTGATTTACCACCAAAGCAGAGCGAGGACCACCAAGAATCCAATAAAAAAGAAAGATTTTTTTAACCTGAGGGTTTAACTGAAAGTTCATGAGTTTGCTTTTGAATGATTATAAGTTTTTTAAAAATCATTAAAGATTTATATAATTATTAATTTTAATGATTATAGATGAATCAAGATATATGCAAATTCACTGTATACTTATATTAATAAATAAATAAAGAAGAGATTTTTCAAAACATTATCGGCCTGCTCCCCTCGAGTAGTTGCATGTGGGAAGCGGTGTGAATGATTGCCGCGAAAACCATATGGAAATCCAGATGTTGTTCCATACACAGGAGCACCTGGGGACTCTTGAAACTGAATATTAAACGACAGGAAAAATGATAGACCACCAAAAGCAGTTGAAAACGTAATGGCAATCATAATATTGAGTGTTTGTGTATTAAATATGAAAAATTTACTCGTTTTTCTATATATTATCTCCTTGTTTCTCGTAATTAAAAATAATTTATGATCATACCGTCGGGGAGGAGCCTCCCTACTTCCAAGTTCCGAGAAAAGGTTACACACACGGGTTTTTATTGTTTGGACAGCCCCAAAAATAATGGAACAAATTAAAGGAGATCTTTGCTCTTCTTTTACTGTTTTTTCTATCTGTCAGAATTTTGAAATCAGAGGCAGATGGGCAGGACAGTAAGAAAAACTTTTGATTGGTGTGTACTTTCGGAAAAGTAATTTTATGAATCAAAACTAATTTTGTTTTTCAATCAAATTTTATTTCAATATATATATATATATATATATATATAATTTGATTCTTATAACATCTCCTTTAATTACCATGCTGAATTGCTAATTAAAAAAATAAATTTTGATTTTTTAAAATTCATAATCAATTTATATATATTCATAAGAAATTTATTTCTTATCTAATTCTTTTTAAAGTTAAATGGAGATAATTTAGAATTTTGTTATTAGTTTTGGATTGTATTCTGATTGATTTTAAAAAATAAATTTATATATAAATTTGGATTTGTATAAATATAAAATATTTTAAAAAATTATTATTTATAAATCAATGATGAATCTAGAATTCGAGTCATGACATGTATAGTGTGTAAAACTACTTAATTACCACATATGCCAACCAATTAATTTCAATGTTTTTTATTTAATTTCATAGATTTTTTTTTCATTTTTATAAGGTATTTGTGTACTATTATTAGGTAAAATGTTTTTGACAACCTTTTATATATTTGTTTAACAAAAAATTTGATTTATATAAAATATTTTATAATTAATTTATTAAAAAATATTTTAATTTATAAAATATTTTATAAATTTAACTTATAATATTATTAACTAGTTCAATCACCCAACCATCACTCCACCGCATATTGCAACATTCTGTCAGATCTCCATCCATCATGTCATTTATTTCATATTATTTGTATCATCGTGCAATAACTATTATAACTTTTATCATATCACTTCATTATTATAGTGACTATTACCTACTCACCATAATGTATTATCATTATTTTACCATTATTAATATTTTTTATATTATTACATATTGTAAAATTTAGAAAATCTGAAAACCAAACCAGTAATGTGCTGGGCAATGGTGGAGCCATGTAGGAGTAAAAAGGGACAATTGTCCCCTTAATTTTTTTAAATATTTTTATATTAAAATATTAATATAATAATATGGTGAGGGGTTGACACACATAGTTATTATCGCTGACTTGTGTCTTAATATAATAACTAATATATATAATATATGTGCAGCACCCCGACTCATTTCTCATTTCCTCAAACTTTTTCCTTTTTTCCCGCTAATTATTCAAGAGCTTTTCTACTGTTTTTCTAGCTGCTCTCTTCCTTCCACAACTTTTTTTTTTCAAGTTCAATTAAGCAACTTTAGGTAATTTTCTTTTTATATTTTATATTTTTTAATTTTAATTTTAATTTTTATAATTAATTATTAAAAATATTAGAGTTTATTATAATTTAGAGGTTTTAATATATATAATATTTTGAATTAATTAAAGATGAATAGTAGTGAATTAGACCGCAAGATTTTGAATATTATATATTAATTTAATTGTTTTGAATTAATTAAGGGTTATATTATTTTCAATTAAATTGATTATGATATATTAATTTTTTTTCATGAGATGAACAAGCAAATATTTAAATTATTATAGTAAGTAAAGATTGATATTTACCAAATTAAAATTGATTTAAACTGAGATTGTTTATTTTTATGATATTAATTTCCTTGTACTTTCATATAAAATAATCAGGATAAATAATTAATAATTCATATTTTATTTGTATTTCTCCTCTTCTTTGTTTTCATTAGATAATTTATGTTTTGCCGGAGAAGAATTAAAACGTGCATGCAAATCTGATTTTAATTGATACTTAAATGTGCTGGGCAATGGTGGAGCCATGTAGGAGTAAAAAGGGACAATTGTCCCCTTAATTTTTTTTAAATATTTTTTATATTAAAATATTAATATAATAATATGGTGAGGGGTTGACCCACATAGTTATTATCGCTGACTTGTGTCTTAATATAATAACTAATATATATATAATATGTGCAGCACCCCGACTCATTTCTCATTTCCCCAAACTTTTTCCTTTTCTTTTCTTTTTTTCCGCTAATTATTCAAGAGCTTTTCTACTCTTTTTTCTAGCTGCTCTCTTCCTTCCACAACTTTTTTTTTCAAGTTCAGTTAAGCAACTTTAGGTAATTTTCTTTTTATATTTTTTATTATTTAATTTTAATTTTAATTTTATTTTTTATAATTAATTATTAAAAATATTAAAGTTTATTATAATTTAGAGATTTTGATATATATAATGTTTTGAATCAATTAAAGATGAACAGTACTAGATTAGATTGTAAGATTTTAAATATTATACATTGATTTGATTGTTTTCAATTAATTAAAGGTTATATAATTTTTAATTGAATTAATTACAATACACTATTTTATTTTCAGGTAAATATTTAAATTGTTGTAGCATGCAAAGATTGATATTTTTCGAATGAAAATTGTTTTAGCTTGAGATTGTTTATTTTTATGATGTTAATTTTCTTGTGCTTTTATATAAAATAATTAGGACAAATGATCAATAATTTATATATATATTTTTTTTGTTTTCATCAGATAATTTGTGTTTTGTCTTGGAAGAATTAACACATGTGTACAGACCTTACATATTGTTTTTGTCTTAAAAAAGAAAAGAAAAAACAATTTTTTTTATTTTTAACAATGATTTGTCATGATAAATTTAGACCATCCATATTCATGCATCATGTACAACATGCTACATGGTAATGAGGGTAATGAGGCGTAAATTGAATTTTGATAAATTGATTTGTATTTTATTATAAATTTCATATAAAAAATTTATAATTATTATCTAACTCAACTGAATTTTGTTATTATGAAAACTCAAAAAGAATAATTATAATATAAATTTTTATTTTAAAAGTATTTTAAAATTAATTTTGCTTGTTGGTATATTTATTTTGAATTAATTTTTAATACATGTTTATATAATATAGTATTTATTGGTAATTTATTTATTTTATTTAAAAAATAATAGCCACGCCACCCGGGCTGGTTTTACTTAATCACCATAAAAGCCCACCAATTTTAATCTCCTCTCTTTATCTATATTTGTAGCTGTGGAGTAATTTTTTTTTTAACAGTATATTGTTAGCTTGTTACGTAAAAAGATTGAATCACGTGTTCCACTACTAGTAGCTATGGTCGCAATTACCTTGTACTATCCTGTCTGTGGAGATAAGCTGGAGAGACAACATTGGTACGAGGGTACAACGGCTAACCAATAGACAGCAGCATGGCTACTTGTACGGAAAGCAAATCTCACCGTAAAATAAACTTTGACGTTAAAACAATAAAAAAAAAAGAAAAAGGTCCCCCCTTGAATTGAATCTGACCTTTTATAGCTCGACAACAACCTTATGACCTTACTCAAATGAAAATAAATAAATAATAAATACAACAACTAGTAATTAATATAAATTTCCCTAAGTTCTTTTTTCAATAATAATAACCATTTTGAGAAAATTGCAGGCTGTGACTTCTTGTTTGGCTATAAAAAGTATCTTTCTTTTTCCTGCGAGCTAGGTCAAGATCTCCTGGTTAAAATTTTTTCTCTCCTATCTCTCTTTCAATGCCATCGGTGTAGGGACTTGACGTTGATTTCTGTGAAGTGTCGCTGCACCAGAAGAAGACAGGATAGAAATAGTTATGAAGAACTGAAGCAAAAGACTTCTAACCAATCCTTGCAAGCTCACATCCTTCTTGCATAGCTCCAAGACAGCTTGAATTATTGGTAGGTTACTCTCCTTCTTCACCACCTTGATTCTCTTAAGATTACCTTGTATGTTTTAAATTTTTAGCTAGGGTTGTTTTAGATTATGTGCTGTTTATTATTACTGCTGCTGCTGCTGCTGCTGTGTTTTATACTCAGTTCAAGATTCTTGGCTTGATTTGGAAAAAGTATGCTCTTTGCGGCTCTTAATTTATTTTTTATCTAGTTTTCTTTCCCTAACCTTATCACAGAGGGGGATTCTATGCATTTCTATTTACAGAAATATTCTCTCACTGGTGTACCTGATTTTTTCTTCATTTTCTTTTTATTAAAATTTGTTTCCACTTTTATGAAGCAAGATAATTTTTTCATGATTTTTCATAATAAGCAAACTCTCTTAGTACAGTTGTTTGAAGCAGTCAGTAGACGCTTGCTTTCTTCAATTAATTTTCCTCTCTGTGTTATAATTGTACGTTTATCTCTCTCTCCCTCTCTTTTGTGGGTTGATTTTCTGTGACCAAAGATCCCTCCTTGATTTCTTGCAATCAAGATCCACTATTGTACATTGACGTAACTCCAGATCTTCAATTGATATTCTTCCTTATGAAAGGACTTCTTTGGGTAAGGGGGTGATCCAGATTTCTTTATTTCGTCAAATTCATCACTCTTTCTTCTCCTCCTTTTTCTGTTCAAGTCTTTGAAAATATGTAATTCATGTGTGCGTATATGCCAGTCAGAAAACATTTTATTTCCCTGTAAATATACTTGTTAAGCATGCATGATGGATGCTTTTTCTCATTTTATGTAAAGGGTATTGATTTTTCTGTCTGTAAACATTGATACTGTTCTCTATTAAAGAGCATATAACAAAGGGTCTGTGGTTTTTGTGCTCGGTCTCTCTCCGTCTCTTAGGGATTCTATTTTGATCATTATGTATGTGATGACTTATCTTGGTTGATTTTGCATGAAGGGTGAGTTGAAGTGTTTTTACATGGTAAAGATGACTCGAAAGAAAATCCAGATCAAGAAGATCGACAACACAGCTGCAAGGCAAGTTACTTTCTCAAAGAGGAGAAGAGGGCTTTTCAAGAAAGCTTATGAGCTCTCAACTCTATGTGATGCTGAGATTGCTCTCACGGTGTTTTCTGCAACTGGCAAGCTTTTTGAGTACTCAAACACGAGGTTCTTCTCCTTTTCATTTTCTTATTATTTTCCCTACTTTATTATATATGTCACCTATGATCTCATTGATCAACCTAGGATTCATTAACTATGGTTTCTTCTGAACACAACAAAATTGAAAAAAGAAGAGAATGGCTGAAATGGATGTACAATAGAATCTTTTGATATCTGCCAGCAAAATAATATTTCTTGAGGGAAAAGGAAAAGGAGAGAGGAGCTTAGGGAGAAATTGGTACTGATGATATGAAGGTTTTGACCATGTCAGTTGCCGCCACTTATTGCAAATTCAAAAAACAATTCAAGGACTATTGACACATCCATTTATGAGATCCTCTTAATGAAACTTGATTAGTTTATATTGTTTTAAACACACACATGTATGTATGTATAGTTACTATGTTCTTATGCTGCCATTAGAGACCAAAGCCACTGATATTATAGAAGTTGTTTTTACTATCCTCTGCACACCCAGAAACCACAACTTACTATAAGGATGTGCTCATAAAATATAGGGCATAGACGACTGAATATGGTAAGGCCTTCATTTTTCAGAAAATTCAAGTGAAAATTCTAAAACTTCAATACCCCTAAGCCAATATAGTACTACCTATATGTATCCTTTGATAAATAGATTGATTACAACTACTCATATCGTATATTGATGCATGAGCAAATAGTGCTGTAGTCAGAAGCTCTCTTAATTCATTGTCTTTGTTTTGTACTATATTGATATAATTACCTGATTTGTACACATCGATTGTAATTATTTTTTCAGTATATCAATAGTCATAGAAACCAGAACTAGTTTTTTTTTTTAGAAGGTTTACATCATAATTTTTCCAATTTGTTTTACCATCAATAGCCAGTCTTCCCCTAGGTTTTTATCTGTCCATATATTCGAGCCAACCTCCTGTGTTGCCAGCATAAGATTTAACCTCGTCAAGTACATCTCCAAACTTCCTGTCTGTATACGAAGCCTCCAAATTTTCTTACGTATATTGATATGCTCCTGCCCCGATCATTATTTTCCTCGTTTATCTTTATAATTATGTGATTTTAGTTTCAAGATTAAACAAATGCTCCACTTCCTTCCATGTTAATTTGGATTTTAAGTTAGGGTCTTGATGTGATCCGATGCCTCCCCCAGCCCTCTGGTCATGATGGGAATGATAATTTTCTTCAATAAAAAACAAATCCTTCCTTGTTCAATTGCATTTACTCATCATCCATATGAATAATACCTTTGTTGAAGCACAGATTTATAATATGACAAAATGAGAATTTTATTATTAGTAGACAACAATCCAACTGGTATTGGACTGAGAAGAGGTCGCTTGCTTGCATCGCTTCTTCTTCTTTTCTTTTTTTGGCTTGCTTGCTTTTACTTCAATATGATAGAGGAGAAGTGAGGTTTTTAACATCAGCCTTAAACACTGCCTTTTCCTTTTCTTCAATATATATAATCTACTCTTAACCACTGATTGCTATTTCACAGGTAATGAGATTATGCTCTAATTTTAGGAAAAAATGTATGAGGAATCTTAATTAGGCTAGATAAGTGTCACTTTCTCTCTAAACTTTGGTAAGTCTTCGTTCTTTTATTGTTATATGGGATCAAAGTGATAGTCTATGTCCGTAGAATACTGCCAGTTCTATTACTTTCATGTACTTTGTCAGGCATCCCTGGCTCTTGAACTTTCCCACCTTTTCTAGGTAGCTTGGTGCTCTATTAATATACTACGTATTTAATTATATTTCTTCTTTCTCATATAAATATATGAGTAATAAAAGAACCATGATTATTGTTTCCTGTACTAGTAATGTGCATTTCACGTACAAAATCTCATTACTTTATGGATAACACCTAACAAAATTACGAAAGAACTTGATCTCAAATGAAATCTTGTTCGAGAAAAGTCAAATATAAGATTAAAAGTTGAGGGATTACTTTGTAAATGACTTCAAACTAGGAAGAGGAGACACCCTTTTAACCCTTAATTACGTACCAATGTGATTTTTTTTTCTTTTTTTGCAAGGTCATGTCTTATAAATGCCTTCCATGAAAGTTTATTACTGTTGTTTTTACTTTCTCATATTAATCCTTTTTTACTTGCACCAAAAAAGAAAAAAAATAAATTTTTTTCCTACATTAATGTTTAATTCAATAGTTTTAACACCAACTTCTTTTTTGTTTTGGGTTTGAAATTAAATCACTTCCTTTTCTTTCCCTTTTGACTTTGTTGGTACTGAAAAAATATCAGAAAATAGTTGCATTCAATGATTCAATTTGAAGGATCTTCTTAGGAGGCGTACGAGCATATAGGAGAGGAAAGAAGCAAGTTACGATGACACTTGTCAGCGCTTCTAATCCTACTCAGTATTTCGTCATGTTATTAATGAGTGAATAGTTTTGCTCCTAATTAAATTGAAAATCTGGGATATTTTAGAAAGAATAATGCTATAAACAAACTTTTTATATAAAACCTTCATATAAATATGTGATAGTTATTTTATTTTAATATAAAAGATTTGTTTGTAATCATTTTTTTTTAAATGATCGTAGAGCTGATTTAATAAACATTTTAATGCTTCCTACAAGAACATTTTAGTGGCAAGGTCTTTATAGTTAAAGATTGCCCATGCATATTTCACAAAATTTCACCAGAAACAATGAAAAAGAAGAAACATTTCTACCTAAAGGAAGCAAGTGGTGTAAAACATGTAAAGCATATTTTTTCTTTATAAGCCAAGACGGCAGAAGACCATCTTGCAGAAAACAACACAAAGAAAAATCCGTGAAGGTAGCGGGTGGAGAAGAAACAAGAATAGAAGAGGAAAGAAAACACCTTATCCTTGCTGAAGAAAAGCTATGCAATTTAAGAACACTTTTTTATTAGCCTAGAAGAATACGTTCTGCTCATAAATTTACATTTGCTATGAAGTTGATTACTAATGGATATTTTATTATAAACACATGCTATATACAATAAGAATTTTGAAAGAAAAAAAAATCTGTTGCTTTACATTATTGCCAAATGAATGTTGGCATGCATTTAAAGGTGCCAACTCTGTGTATTTAATCCATTCTCTTTTAGCTATAGTGCATGACTCTAAGACCCTAAGCCTGGCCAATGATGAGACAAATATTCATCACATATTTTCTAGGAATTCTAGTAATTAACAATAAATCTTTCATTTTTTAAAGCAAATTCTATAAAATATTCAAGAAAAAAATCTAAAAAATGAAAAGAGATACACAATAAAAACTTCTTGTGAAGTTCTTCTCTAGGATTAAAAAAAAGAGAGAACTAAAATATTTAAATGTATTTTTAGAGTTTTATAGGAAAGTAAAATAGGACATAAACTTATTTGGAAAAGAAAATCTAAAACTGAACAAATTGGTTTAACAAAAATATTATAAAATTTATTTTAAAAAAATGAAGTTGTCGTGCCTATCCCAACAGTCATTAATTTGAGTAAACATTCCTTTAATATGTAATTTTATTCAAAATAGTAAAACTGTAATTCACATTTAGTATGAAAATTAAAATTTTTTGATACTTGGAATATTTTAACTTGATTTTTGGTAGAGCTAGGCATCTCAACCCAAGTAACTTGTGCTAATATAATGCTTGTGATGAGTTTAGAATTTAAAATAAACATCTATTAGGGTTTCATAGCTAATTAATTTCAAGTTTGACTTTTATTTTAGAAGAAAAAACCTCTTTTTTGTTAAAACTTGATTGATAGTGTTATAGATGTTAATTTTCCCCTTCTAATGCATGTAAAATTATGAATGCTATTGTAATCTCACATCATTTGAATTTGATTTTATATTTTTTTAATCAAACAAATAAATTTTTATGAATCTATATATTGTGATATATGTTTCTATTATGGGTATATATATGTTTTTTATATAGGAATATGATGTGCCGTACATGGTTGATTTATAGTGATCGATTTATTAATTCTTTTAATTTTTCTCGCCAGATAATAATTAACTCCATTTATATCCTTGTATCTGATTTAGTTTAGAACACATGCAAAATTAAGATTCGTAGCAGGGGGTAAAGAATTACTCTAATAAGTAATATTGTACGTAAACAAAACTACTGAGTTGAAAATGAATTGGAAACAATCACAAAATAGCCCATGTAAACAATAATTCCATAGACATCTATTAAAATTATCATGTGGTACGTGAATATCATGTGATAGGGACTGATTGGACAAGTTTCTAAAAGTAGAGGGACAAATGTTTAGAAAGAGCAGGAGCAAAATTGAATTCCTAAGGACTAGTATGAATATTTGAAAAATTTAAGGGGGAAATTGCCCCTTTCACATGCATGCATATATTTCCATCCTTGGTTTAGCAAATTGATCACATGTTTTCACGTACGTACGGGATGGGTTTTGGAAAAATCCAAAAAGTTAAATTTAAAGATATAGAAAATGTAATAATAAATAATTTATCTTAAGAAAAATATAAGACATGCGATTTTGACTTTTTATTTTAAAATAGTTTTTTTTTTGGTGTGGCCAGAAAATATAGTTAATGAAAAAAATTTCATACTTAATTATAAGGATGGATTCAAGAAAAGGATATTTATTATTCAAGGTCAGATTATAATTTGGAATACTATTGCATAAACGTGATGAACTTTCATAAAATATCCATAAAAGTTGAAGGACTTCTGTGCACTTTGTGGCGCTGTTGTCTCTGCAAACCTCCTTTTTACCCCAACTCTCACCATGTCAACAAGGGATGTAAGAATATAATTTATGATGAATCTCCTTTCCCGTCTTAAAAGAGTTTACTTTTGTGAGCATCGATCTAAATAAAACTTTTATAGAAAATGATTGCAAATGTCATTGTTGCAGTGAAACTATTGTAGCAAAATAGGATTATCTTCTTGTTAACTTGTGTCCATACTGTTACATACTTGGCTTTAGGATGAAATACATGAGTTCTTGGGTCTTGCTGGCTTCTGTACCCAAATTCCTTTTTATTAGATCTCCTCAGTTTTATATTATTCTAGATTGTTTAGGGTTATTGTAGTGTGAGATCTCAGCAAAATCACCAGCTATATTCCAGGTGTGTGGTGAGTTTTTCAACAGGTAGTCTTGGAACTAGGCCTTCTCTTTCCTTGTCTTGATGTTACTTTATGGTGGTCTTGAAGTATATATTTCTTATATTAGAGAGGTATAGATTAGTTAAACATTAAGAAAATGTGAGATTTAAGCTTTTGGCACTCACTAGATCTTTAGGATGGAAAATGAGAGTTCTCAAAAGACCTTGCATATGATATTAGGGTTTGTTATTGTTAAAATGAGTTACCACTCTATATAAGCCTCTTTAATATAGGATTTGTTATTGGTGTTTTATCTAATATTAGGGTTTGCTTAATATTAAGATTTTATTTACATGAGATAGTTACCTTCCTATTGATAATCCTCTATTTATCATTGAAAAGAGAACTTCTTTCTAATTGGACAAGAGAGGGTTTATTTCTGAAAGAATACTTGGAACAATCTTAGTAGTTAGCAGTTAAACTCTAATGGCACTGTTAACTAGTTTTACCCTATTCTTCATCACCAAAAATTCGTGAAATGACTTGGCCTACCTATTTTTTGAAGCATGGGGCAAGTGATTGAAAGGCGCAATCTGCATCCAAAGAACTTCGACGCCCTACATCAACAATCTCTTGAGCAGCAGGTAATTAGTTTTCTTGTTGTCGCTTATCAGGATTTTGAATTTGTACCCATATATATCAGTATTGATGTTCATATAAGAGGAAGAAATGAAGAATGGGTGAATGATAATTTCTTTTTTCTGTTGATTAATGCTGGACTGGTAAGTCAAATAATAATAAGTGCATGGCTATATTTTATTGTAATTAGTTTTTCCTTTTCTTCCCATTATTTTCCATGAAATCTTTCCTTTCCTCGCTTAAATGAGTGGATCTCTATTGTGAAGAGAAGTATAATTTGTTTTGCTGGGTATCAAAAATAAGAAATCTTAACTTTCGTAACTCTATTTGCAGCTATAGTGTTATTAATAAAAGAAAGGCAGCCACAAAGAGAGTGACTAACTAAGATAAAGTACGAGGCATGAAGCTAAAGAAAATTGCAGATATAGGGGCTAAAAACCATACCATATATAGTAACGTTTATTTCTTAGCAGCGTCGATCCACAATCCAATCCTTTAGTCAAATCATACCCTGTAAATGTGAGGCTACCTTCTGTGTTGTGAGTTCAAGCTAGTTAAAACTTCTCACCATTGAATTACTCTAGACCAAAAACACCAGGAGCCATGATAGAGGCAGAGAAGGTCTAACGTTGATTCAATAAATTTGCTGCAGAAAAGACATCTTGCTGCATCCATATTGATGAGATTTCTTCGGGTTTTTTTTTTTTTTTACAAAGTCAATTTTCATAGCTAACCAGCATAGAGTTTTTGTTTTCGGAGGAGCCATGCCAGCCCGTATATTAGCAGTAACCGTAACCTGGGAAGATAATTTTATGTAATATATATCGAGCTGTGACCTCTTACAGTATAAATCCCATATCTTTGCTCGCTTCCCAAATCTTATCTAACTCCACTTAAGATAGTGTTTGTGGTTGAATAATATTCGTCAAGTTTGTTTACTTTTATTGTTCAAAAACACATAACTCCCTCCTTAATTTAGATAAGACTCCAAATCCAAGCACTATCCACCCAAGTCTCAAAGCTTGAGATTTGGCGTGCTTGTTGCATTTATATTGCAAAAAAACCCTTCAAGATTGATGTGAGAGAATTGGTGAGGAATTTAGCACTCTTTAGGAGGCATAGACGACCTGCCATCGACAACATCTTTTTCCTCCACGTTCTTAGTCTTGCATTTATTTTGCTAACCATGTTTTGGATTCACCACATGATGTTGTTAAGATATACTTTGAAATAGGATACAGTAGCGGTGTTCACGGTCCGGTTTTAACCAAAAAATTCAATCAAACCGGAAAATAATATTTCTTATTAATATAACCTGAATCGAACTGAGAACCGGTTTTGTTCGGGCCGGGTCGGTTTTTTAGCATAAAAACTAGACTTGTCTTCATCACTGAGCTATTGAGATTTTCTCGTATGAATTTCATTGTAATTCTATAAAAGTATTGTTCTCAAGGTGAGAAAAATTCATTGATGGCTACTAAATCCTTGACTCTGCTCAATCCAACATATCAAATATTAGTTAGTCCCTTCAGGTTGAACATTGAGCAATGGCGCAGTACAGATCTATCCAATTCTATATTCTTCTTGCATGAATTTCATTATAATTTTATAGAAACATTGTTCTCAAACATATCAAATATTAGTTAGTCCCTTCAAGTTGAGCATTGAGCAATGGCGCAGTACATATCTATCCAATTCTATATTCTTCTCGCATGAATTTCATTATAATTTTATAGAAGCATTGTTCTTACCGGTGATGAGAGCCATTCTTGAATAATGGTTCCCTCATTCTATATTCTTCTTGCATGAATTTCATTATAATTTTATAGAAACATTGTTCTCACCGGTGAAGAGAACCATTCTTGAATAATGGTTCCCTCGCATCTGGACTCGTATCTGGACTGTGAAATTGGAAGGGGACGGTTGGGAAAGGATGGCTTGAGGGGGGGTGGTTGCTTGGAAGGGAAGGCTTAAGGCGGGGAAGTGAGTGATGTAGGGTTCTGGGATGGGGAAGGGGAAAAGGGGAAAGCTAGAGGGGGAGGGGGGTTGGCAGCTAGAAAGTGATTTAGTTAGGCTTAGAGATGGTTCTTTTTATATATTTTTTAAATCGGTTCAATCGGTTTAAGTTAAAAAACTAGAACCGAACCAAACCGGGTGGTTTTTTATTTTTTAATCGGTTTATTTAGTTTTTTTTATCGATTTGATTTTTTCAGTTAATTTTGTTCTCGGTTTTTTGGTTTAATCGGTTGGTCGGTTCTTTTGAACATTCCTAGGATATGACATTGATTTTATAGCTAGAATTCATAACAAGGATGATGATTTGCAACTTTACATCAGATAATTATTAGATTTCATAATCAAGTAAAGTTATATAATAACACTAAATTTACTTAATTAAAACTAATTAATATTTAAAATTAAAATTACAAAGCATAAAATAAGCATGCATATGGAGCAATATATAAAAAATTAAATGAAGATGCCAACCAAAGATATTAAGTACTTAGATTATTAACAAATTAAATCATACTTGTTGAAGTGCATATTATACAATAAAAATAGGTGATTGTTGCAAGAATTGTATCTTTTGTTGTTAAGACAAATTTTGACAGCATATTGGTATAAGCAATAGATGCAAATTGCCTATCAAGAATCAACAATCATATAACTATTGATTTACTTAAACACTAAGCCTACACAAACTTTAAAAAAAACTATTCATTTTTTCTTTACATAAAAACTAGAATAACAACATAAGATAAAAATAAAAAAAGATGGTTTAAAAAGAATAATTTTTATTTTTATTTTCTTATAAAGCAACAAAATCCTCCATATATACACATTGAAAAAGAAGAAGGGTTTCTCTTTATCCAATATAGATAAAAAAAAAAAACATAAACACACATAGGCCTCGAAAGAGAAGAAAGATTGATATTGTGCATTTACTATTTCTAAAATGAATATAAAAAAGATGGTAAATAACAATTCATTATATGAATTAAAAATGTTTTTATTCCTAAAATGAATATGCAACACTGAAATCTTTTATATCAAACTTATTAATTAATATCTTTATAGTAGACTAGATCATGTAATCATTGTTGTTTAAGATTAACATGTCATCCATATAAATATATGCAATAACATAATTTTTATTTGGGTTTTTCATATTATTATATTTATCAACTTTATTTATTTTAAAGTCATTTGACAATATAACCTTGTCAAATTTTTCAAGTTATTATTTAGGTGTTTATTTGAAACCATATAATCAATTGACATGTTTATAAACTTTCTTTTTATTTTCTAACAATTATGTTAGAAAATCAAGGCCAAATATTTTGACGGTTTTCACCCTTTGACTTTTTTTCTTAGATCAGCTTCATTATTACCTAATTAATGATAAATGTTTGAGATAGTTTATCTATCCTTTTAAATGAATGAATTTCATAAGCTTTCTTAAATAGAAACACATGTTTAAAGAATGTAGCATTCATTGATTCTATTATTATAATGGGATGAATATCTTCAAAACTTGATTTGTTTATAAGAAATCATTATCCCTGATACTTAACATTGTATTCATATTGATACCTAATAAATATACAATTCACAATTTTAGATCCTATCTAGATTTTTTTGGCATTAAGTATCACTATTTATGTAAGATGCCCCCATACTTTTAAGGTATCCGTAGGAAGATTTTCTATCTTTGTATAATTTATATGCTATCTTTTCTAACATCATATAAGAAATTTTGTTAAGCATGTAGTTGATAGTTCCAATTGCCCTCCCGTAAGTTCTAAGGTTTTCTTGAACTTATCAACATGAATTTGTTATGTTCTGCAATATCATTTTATTGAGGTCAATAAGGAGCAGAAGTTTGGTGGATAATTCATTAAAAAATGGCTCGTATTCTCTCTATATATTATTTTTTATTTTCTTTATCTTTTCATTGAGTTTATTCTTAAACATTTTAAGAGCCTTATCTTTACTTTTTAGTAAATATATATAACAATAACTTATGCAAGCATCTATATTTTTTTCCACCTCTAGTTGGCATAAATTCTAAATTACCAATATCAAAGTAAATTAAACCTAAAGGTTCACTGCTTTCTTCGACTATTTAAAAAGAAGTCTTCATGAATTTTTTTCTTGCTCTTAATTAGTTACAATTGTTATCATATTCATCTTAAAGTGGTTATTATACATATACCTCTTACCTATGAACATCTCACTTTCTTATAACTTTTAAAAGACCTTTTTTAAAAAAATAACCACATTATTGAGGATGAGAAACTTTTCAAAAGTTACCTTCAAAATAACTTTTCTAATGCCTAGTACTTTTAAGGTTGATGAATTCTCTATGCCTAGTTGTTCACCATTTACTTATCTGTAAGGGGAGAACATCCTTTTATTGGTATAAACATGTTTTGTAGCACCGATATCAATCATCTAATACTCAAGATTGTTGATTGGATTGGCTTTGAAAACAACCACAGTTAAGCTCATCTTTTACACTTTATTTAAGAGGTTATTAACCTGAGTGACATTAGATCAAGCAACCTTTTCTCTTTTAAGGTTGCTTGTTAAACCCTATCTATGCAATCCTCGATTTGGGGTGTAGTATTATTGTAGATGAAACATCTACTAATGAATTTTTTGGCAACGCCTTTACCCTTCAGAACAAGATTTTATTTTTTGTTATGGTTCTTTGCCCTTTTTTAACAATATTTTTTGAATAGTCTATAAAGGAAGTATTAGCATATTTTTTTTGATAACTTATTATTCTTTTTTATTCTAAACTTTAGAATGAGATCTTCAACTCTTCATTCCTTACGCTTATGCTTAAAGTAATTCTTAAAGTTTTTTCAAGATGATAATAATTTCTAAATGATTTCAATCAATTAGATAGATTCACTTAGAATCATCACTTCATTATGGATGTCAAGTAAGATGAATTGAAATTCATGAACTTAGCTTATTACAATTCTTAAATTGATTATCTTGAAATCTAGAAATTTACCAACTCATAACTTTTTCATTTCAGCATCTTTAGCCTTATATTTTCAATCCAAAGCTTCTTAAACTTCTTATAATACATTTTCACTATTGATTAAACTATACACATTATATAATATTTTGTCTAAGCCATTCAAAATATTATTCTTGCACATGAAATTTTTATACATCCACGCTTCCATAAGTTCTATAATGATAGAATCAAATTCATCTTTTAAAAGCTTTCAAAGAGGTAAGATTGAAGAGTATCATTTTTTTTTCCATATTTCAAAATTCACACCTTTGAACTTCTTAAATTTTACACAATGCACCAAATAAAGTGATAATGAAATCCCTTTGAGGAAGCGGTGTTATTAGGTTTCTAAGCTTTCAAAGAGGTGAGATTGAAGAGTATCATTTTTTTTTTTTGCTATATTTCAACATTCACACCTTTAAAATGGTGAGATTGAAGAGTATCATTTTTTTTTGCCACATTTCAACATTCACACCTTTAAACTTTTCAAGTTTCACACAATGCATCAAATAAAGTGATGATGAAATCCCCTTGAAGGAGCGGTAGTATTAGGTTTCTAACCATCACCACAAAATATAATGGTGATATCATCGATGTTAATGTTTTCATTTTTTATATATGAGAAAGTAACTTTTATCATTTGATTATAATAAAACTCATCTTGTATAGCTTTATAACATGTAACTAATAAATGATTTTAAACTAAATTGATATTATGGAGCAACATATAAAACAACAAGTGTCATAAATTGGATTATTTTGTTATATATAATTATATAATAATAATAAATTCATTTTATAAACTAATTAAGTTTTAAAATTTCTTAAGATTTTTGGATTTAATAATCAAGGAAAGTCTAATTTATTTTCACAAAGATAAGTAAACTAAATTTATTTAACTAAATTTGATTAATAATTAAATCTAAATTTTTTATTAAATAACAAATCATAAACTACAAAGAATAAAATAGTTATACACACACACACACTACAAAGAATAAAATAGTTATACACACATATATACTAGCGTACCAACAAAATATATCAAAGACTTAAATTATTAACAAATTAAATCATACATGTTTTTTTTTTTGATAACAAATTAAATCATACATGTTTTTTTTGTTAATAGTCGAAAATTTATTAAGAAAAAAGGCTACAAAGATAATAGCCTAACTTACATCAGATGAACAAGTAGAGGAAAGAAAACACAAAAACTATTGCATGAAACAAGGGAGAGCAACAAATAAGGGAACAAACAAATCATAAGAAACCAACTACTTCCGACTAAACATTCTTTATATTAAGCTCTAAAGAGTTGGAATCAAGCCTCAACCATAAAGCAATACTTTGACGCACCATGGAGAAACAAATTTGAAAGTTAGGGGTAGCATCATTAAAAATAACATTATTTCGGTGAAGCCAAGGATTCCAAACAACGCATGAGAAAAGAAGTTGCCATGAGAGATTCTG